ATTGTCTAATAGCTCAGACTACAGCCAGAGCTTCTTTTTTAGTGACACTATAATTCTTTTCTGCTGGTTTAAGTAAAAACTTATATAGACTACTACTCGTTCTCTTTCTTCATTATCTTTTTGAGATAATATTGCACCAAGTTCAGAATCAGAGATATTAGTATATAGATAGAATTTCTTGATAAAATTAGGATAGATTAAAATTAGGATAGAAATAAGTTTTTCTTTCAAAATCTGAAATGCATTCTCTTGAATTATAGTTCAAATGAAAATGATATCATTCTTTAAAAGTTTAAATAGTGATGCTACTATCTGTAAGAATCCTTTAATAAATTTTTTATAATATCCAGCTAGTTCTAAGAACGATCTAAGCTTCTTGATATTTGTTGGAGTAGAAAATTCTTGAATTCATTGAATTATTGAAAGATTAGGTAAAATTCCATCCTGAGTAATAATATGTTCTAGAAAGGGTAAGTTATCTCAAGTAAAGTTATATTTTTCCAAGTAGAGTTTTAATCTAGCTTCTCTGATTTGTTGAAAAACTTTTTGTAAATGTTCTAGATATTTTTCTCAAGTTTTTGAGTATATATTTATATTATCAATATAGATTATGACAAATTTTTAATTATAATCTCCAAGTATGCTATCCATAGCTTGTTAAAAAGTTACTGATACATTACAAAGTCCAAAAGGTATAATTTTGAATTTGTATAATTCTTTTCTTGAAATAAATATTATCTTTTCAATACTAGATAATTCCATTTCAATTTGCCAGTAACTAGAGATAAGATCCATAGATGAAAATTATTTTGCATCTCCAAGATTATCTATCATTTTATCAATTCATAATAAGAGGTAGGCATCTTTCTTAATGAGAGTATTGAGTTTTCTGTAATTAATATAAAATTGTTTCTTGTTATTTTTCTTTACTGCTACTATAATAGGTGAGATCTAGGAACTATTAGATTTTTGGATGATATCTGCATTTAATATTCATTAGATTTCATCATGAATAAACTCTTGATTAGATAAAGTTGCTCTGTAAGTCTTTTGATAAATAGGCTTTTCATTTCCAGTATTAATTGAATATTGAATAATATTAGTTCATCCAAGTTTATTTAGATCTGATACAAAAATATCTTTGTATACTTGTAATAAGTTATGTAAGACATCTTGTTGTTCAAGTATTAATTCTTATTATTTAATTACTTTTATGATTTCTTTTTTGTCTAAGAAGTATGCTTCCATTTTGTCCTTTTCAGTTGATCTAAATCCTTGAGTTCCATGAGATAATTCTCTTAATTCTTCTCTGGTATCTACTAATGTTATTCCTTCAATTAGAACAAGTTATAAAAAGTTTACTTAGGCAATTTGTTCATAAGATTAGACTTTATAAGATTTATTAGAATTATTATGCAAAAGAATTTCAATATTTCTAGTATATTCAATATCAATAGTTCCTTCTTTAACTTCAATTTCTCTTTTGATTAATGATGATCAAGATATTAATTGACAAATAGTTTCTACAGGAACTTCAATTATCAAATAAAGATTAATCATAATTGTTTGATGAGATTGAATTAGGATTACTTCTTCTCTAGGATATCTAAGATCAAAGCCTGCATTATATTTATAGGTATGTTCAGGTATTTTTTCTTTATTTTTATCATTGTAAATTTTGATCATTAAATTTGCTAACTGTTCTTCAAGTTATTCTTCTTCTTCTACTTCATCTTTATAGTTTTCAGATGCTGTATTATAGTTATTTAGAATTTCTTTAATTGAATCATAGTCACTATCTTTAGCTTTCTCTTCTTTTTCTGATTCTGGATATTTTTCTTCTAGTAATTCTTCAATTTGTTCAGATCATATATAATCTTTACAAGTGTCTGAATTACAAGAAATCAAACATTTATTACAGAGTTTTACATTAATATATTCTAATTGAGTTAGTTATTTTCTTTGGAAGAGAGATAATTGTTGATAGATAGTCAGAAAGATTTCTTGAACTGATACTTTTTCAGATCTATCATAGATAATATATTGCATCTCTTCTTCTTCATCAAATTCAGTAATATATTGGGTAAGTATTACTTTTCCAATTTTATTATATTATTGGTAAACATTTAACAAGTTACCATTACTTCTCAATTTTCTGATAGTGTCATTATTTTTTTACTAACCATCATGATTAAATACGTATACACATTGTTCAGTATAGTTGCAAAAATATTTAACATCATTATATTTTCAAGTTACTTTAAGAAAGTATCTAGCTTCATCTTGAAGTCTACAGTAATCACAGGCAGATAAGTTAAGTTATTGTTGAGTAAAGCAATTAGAATAATATTATTTTTCAGATTCATTTCCATCTCTTGTTTCTGAAATAGTTTCACTATCCATAAAATATTTACAATATGAACATTTAACTACTCTTTCTTCTAGCTTCAATTTTTGTAAGACTTTACTTCTTGAAAAGAATCTTTCTTTAGTAATAGATATCTTTTCTGATTTTCAGATATGTTTCACTTCTAATCACTAGTTTTTAGTTTCATTCTGAGATAAAATTATTGATAAATTATTTGGAGTATTCATTTTAACATTAACCTAGATAACTAGATTATCAAAATATTAAGAATATTCATGTTTGGATATTAGTAATTTGTGATAATATTAACATTCAGCTACAGGACCTCTCCAATCAAAAGTTCATTGAGAACTTTGATAGTGAGTCTGCTGGAATCTTCTTTCCAATTTCAAATATTCTTTTCAGATGAGAGTGATATCCTTAACTTGAATTCCTTCTTCAAAAATTTTAATATTTCTAACTTTAGAAATTGAATTTATAGTCATGTATGAAACTTTTCTAAAGTTTACATCATTGAATCATCTGGATGAAGTATGAATCTGAATCCAGGATTTGTCAGATATCTATCATAAAAAATTATGATCTTCTAGATTTTGATCTTCAATTTCAAACTCATTATCTGAAGTTTTACTAGAGAATATTTCTGTATCATCATCATTACCTTTAGATATAGCATTTTATTATTCATAAATGAATTTGATTGATACTTTTTCTTCTTCTTCATTCCAATCAAAGATCATTATATTTTTCTTTAGATCAATTTTAGTATTGATCTTGTTTAATCAGTTTATATCTATTATAAGACTATAAGTTTGAGCTTTAGTAATATTCATTTCAGCTGGAATTATGATTCTATTAATGGTAATAAAGAAGTTATCAATGGCTCCTAATGATTGCTTAGAATATCTATTAATATCAGATATGAAGATATTTAATTTCATTAAATCTTCATTTCTAATTATTTGAGAAATTCATGACTAATAACATATCCTAATACTTCAGTATTCATGATTAGATTTACAGAAGTCTTTTCAACTTTGACTTCACATCAGGCTGAGATTATTTTAATCTTTTGGGTAAACATTATTTTTTGTTTAAGTTTCTTCTGTAGTTTCTTTCTCATTTCTTTTAACATTTAAATCTTCTGTTTAGGTAAGATCTTGATGAGTTATGCAATGGTAATGTTGGCTTTCTGTGATGTCAAATCTTTAAGTATATTATAGATTTCTGTATGTTTGGCTAGAATTAGAAGATGTGTTCTTCCTTTCTTTTATTTCTTCTTTTTCAAGTTGGTCTTGTCTTTTTTAGGTAAAAATTGGGTGACTTTATTTTCTTTTTCACTTTCTTCTTCTTTTTTGATAATTCTTTGACATTTTCTTTCTTCAGCTAAATAATCATAAGTTACTAGTAATAAAAAACTAGATTGGGTAAATGTATCACTAAATGAATCATTATCAGATGCTTGCAAAGTAGCTGTTAAATTCTGGATTTGAGTAAAAAGAAAAGTAGTATCCAGATTTTGTGAATTATTAGATTGCTGATTATTATTTTAGATATTCTGATTTTACTAATTATTGTTATTATTATTATTATTTTAATTTTGGCTATTCCAGTTTCAAGAGGCATTCTGATTATTGAGTGACTGATTTACTAGTTGAAAATTATTTAGACAAATCCTATTGACATGTTCTTTTCCTTTATAACTGTAACAGATAATGAAAGATCTAATTTTATTACTGATTATTATTATTATTATTATTATTATATCTTCTACCAAATTCTACATGATCTAATCTACTGGTCAGATCTTACAAGATCTTAGCTAGAATACTCTATTTACTAATTGATTAAGCTTGAGTTTGATAATAGATTTGTTTGAGTGGATCTGAATTAGCTTCTTCTATATTTTTGGCAGTTTTAATAATACTTTTCATATTATCTTCAGCATTTAGATGGGTGGTACCTATTTGAGTATAGTATATTTAGACATGTTGGTATGGTATGGTTAATTATCTTAATATTAAAATATAAAAAATTATACCATACTTACTTAATTACTATATATATATATATATTACACAAACTAAAGATGGCTCCTCAACTAATTGTGGCTTGCGGCAGCCAATCAGAGAATTACGACAGAGTTGCAGTAGCCAATCAGAGAATTACAACAGAGTTGCGGCTAGTTGCGGCTCTCATCTCTAACACAAACTAATTTAGTATGGTATGATTCAATACAAACAAATCATATCATACTGAAATGATCTATATAAGAAACTTTGTGTCTATATAAAAAACTTGTTCATATAAAATTACTGGGAAAAGCAGTGTAAGTCACTATGGTGAGGTATAAGCTTTGGTATTAGGGGTATTGGGAAAGCTATAATGCAGATATGAGCTTTAGTATTGGGTTAGAAAAGCATGTTATTTTTGCTTAATCGATATGTTAAGATCTTGATTTATTAGTCATCAAGTTATTCTTGTCATAAAGAATATAATAATGTGTAGAACGAGCAGTTTTTTGCAGATCTAGATAGCTAAAGATCTTACTGAAACTTTTCAAAGGTAAACACATTTTAATATTAAGATATTCGAAACTGTTCTATAGCTCATCAATAATTTTTACCTTTAGGCACATGCTCAAAACCAAATTTAGAAGAGAAGACTGAAGATAGTAGGTCAGTAAAGAATGTGAAGATGGTGGGTGTGGTCAAGAGTGAAGATGGTGGAGCAGTCGGGTAATAGTGGGGTAATCGAAGATAGCGGTCAATTTTGTCTCCTTCATATACTATGTAGTATACTAAAAAGAGACTTTGTATTGTCATACTGTAAAGAGCAATTTTTATACCAAAAAAAGCCAAACTTTATTGTATTTGATTAGCGTTTCTTATTCTCAAAACTAAATATAATATTCACTCAATTTTTTGATTAAGGTAAAAATTCCTCCTCATCAAGATTCTCAAAGGTAATCATGTTTTTAATATTATTAAGATCTTCAAAATCCTTCTCTAACTCATCAATACCTAATTCTTTAGCATGCTCCATATTATTTAATTTGAGTTGGCGAATCTCCGTAGCTTCCTTTCTAATCATGATTTTTATACGCTGTATGTATAACTGTTTTTTAAGTTTTACTAGCTCCATATCATTATTCTCTTACAGTAAGAATAAAGCGATTTATAGTTTTTTTTGTCTTATAGAACTAATTAGAGCTTGTCATTTTGATGCTGTAAGGATGCTTGATATCTTGGACATACGTGATGTTGCTTATTTATTTACTATAAAAAATATCGAAACCAAAATTTGACTAAATACAATTTATTATGAAGCGGTAAAGAATAAGGAGAAGTATAGTGGTGATAGAGTGTGAAGATGGTGAGAGTGATAAAATATGAAGATGGTGAAAGGGGTAGAGTATGCGGGATTATAAAAATACTAGTGTAAAGGTGGTAAGATCAGTAGTGATAATTGTAGGAAAAGGTGTTGTGATGACAAAAAAATAAAGGTAGTATACTATTAGAGGGATAATTGTAGTAAATAAATAATAATATAAGAAATATACTACTTTTTCTATGTGCACGAGCAATATGGTCAACTTTGCTTTTTCTTCATATTCTATTTGATATATCAAAAAAATCATGTGTTATCATAGCTATAAAATAGCGATTATCTAAACGCTGGCCCCTACAAATAATAAACCAATTGAAAAATTGTTAGCACAAAGTAGGTGATAGCAAAAGGATAAGATACTATACCTGAATATTGCTGTCAAGAATTTCAAATGTTTCCCTTCTCGATTAGCATCAGAATGACACCTCTTGGTAATATTTGTTATATCTCCTGAAGAAACCTAATAAATTTCAGAAATACGCAAACACGTGAAGTTTAATGAAGCCTTCATCCAACGGTTAGAATAAAAATTGATCTATCCTATATAAACAAAAGTAGTTAGTTATTATTAATAAAAATAATGCAATAAAGATTCAGCTTACCTTCTAGATCTGCACCTCCAACCTCTATTATCTTATCAAGTATCGTGTTAACTTCTTCTTCTGTAGGTGCTATTAACAAATAATTTATTAGGTTTTTCAGATCACCTGAATAATGGTGATGCTGGATATTGCTAGAAATAATATAATTAGAAAAATGAATCAACAACCAATCAAATTGCAAAAGTATGATCAGACATGATACTTACGCTCTATAATGGACTTAGTAAGACTTGAAAATGCAAATCAAATGATCTTCTCACGTCTTACTATTATCAATTTTATACAATATCATTCCTAATTCTTGAGCTTGCGCAAAATTCAGATCACTTATTATGCATGCCCAATCGCTCTTATGAATATGATGAATTTTTACTTGTGATCCAGTATAGTTTTCAACCATTTTAATAATAGCCTGAAAAATTCATTGATATACTTCTGAAGTAGAGATATTGGTGAACACATAATAGTATATTAATACTATATAAATATTGAGAAAAGAGTGGGTGGTGTTAGGAAAGGAGAGTTAAATTTTGAATGTCTTTCACATCGATGACAGAAATCAAGAAATAAAATGATTTTATTACTCTTAATTAATCATACAAATATGATGTTCCTCATCATATTGGTTGATCTCAAACTCATTTATTTCTTCTTAAACGTGCTTAAATGTGAGATCTACTTAGAAATAAGTCATCTTTAATAATCTCTCTGCTTATTCTTTTGTCATACAAATAATGAGTACATGACTATCTCCAAACATACCTATTTGCCAAAATAGATATATTGTAGGCTCAAAATCAAATTGGGAAGTTAAGCACAAAATAAAACTTACTCATTTTTCTAACATATCCATTTATATTATCTGTGTTAATTGTAAGTGCGTGCGCTAGTCCTATTATACTCTGTCCATAAGAATATACCTCTTTGTGTACTTTCAATACCAAATAGCGCAATTTATCAATATTATTTAGTGACATGTGCATTTCACTTAATAGATTAACTCCGAAAAATTCTTTAATTAAGTTTCCTATAATACAATAAAGTAAGCCTATGATATCCATGTGCATCAAATAAATTTCTTTCATTGAATATTGATTTACTAGAAAGTATTTTTCGTGGAGTAACATTAGCCATATCTTCATGTACTGTTTTAATTAGTTCAACTAGTCTCTCTTGTATGGTGTAAGGAATATTGGTAGGTGGTGGTGAGGGATATGTATGGATTCCAACTGATATTAAGGTCATGAAAGGACATGCTTACAAGTTATAGGGTGTTAATCAATAAAATTTGATATTACACATTTGGTGAATCAAAGGTGATTGATAGGGTCAACCATTTGTATCAATATGGATATATCCTAAATTAAACAAATTTTTACAGATACTTATATTATAATGAATATAATAAACCAACAATAAATACTAATCACAAGTTTTAAGGCCAGTATTTCGAGATAAAACTATTTGATAATAATTAGTTCTATTTATTGGAGTAAAATCCTACAGAGAAAATTAGATAATTAAATTCTTATTCAAATGCAATTTGATTATATAAAATGTATACTAAACTTTCTTTCTAAAAGCTGCTCAAATAGGTCAATATTCATATTTTCGTTCAATAATCTAAATCGATACCTTTTTTTACCAAGCTGCCAATTATCACATTCCACAAAATATCCCCCTCTATTTGATATTAATTATGCAAGCTGTTGAACTGGACTATTTTCCACAGTTGGGGTATAGTCTTGTAGATCTGAATAAATTCAAAGCTATTTCAGGATGGAAAGACCATTATATGTATTGTTATCACTTTGATGCTTGCATTTAATCTTCATCGCAGTGAGATATTCTCTAAAGGTAATAAGTTATTAAATCTATCAATATAAAAATGAATTACATGTAAACAACTTACATATATATATTTGTTTCACAATCAATTAAGCATTCATTGTTTTTTAGTCATTTGAATTTATCGGAATCAAAATCGATATCATTATGACAACTATTGCATAGTTCCAGATCAGTTTGTTCACAAACCATAACATCTTGGCATATTCTTTCATTTTTTTTATTTTGATATTATTAAAATATGGACTGCAGAAATTGTTTTGTCCGCCTGGACTACCGATAGAATATTGAATCTATATACACATAAAAAATAATTAGCAATCTTATAAGAAATAAAGATTTTTTATAATAAATCTTACATCATAAAAAAATTCAGTTACTTTAGTGTGCAAGGCAGCATGATCACTTGATGTTTGTTCCAAATTAAATATAATAGTCACACCATTATCCATTATTGAAGGGTATTCTACAGGTAATGCTGAATATATAATATTTTTTACTTTTAGGTCCTGCGTAAACTGATAAAAATCAAAATTTTTTTCTTTATCTGAACCAAGCATCTAGGTTAATAAAATTATTAGAAAGATCTATTTTTCTTGCTTTATGTCAAATTATTTAATTTATTTACATGTTCAAAAGTTTCTAGGTCAACAAAATTGGTCACTTATATACCGTCAAAAAAAACTTTACTTTCTTCCATTTTAAAAAGTCAAGAATGCGTGAGTAAAAATATAATTGAATCTAGTTTAAGTAATAAACTACATGTACCTCTTCACCTCATTTGGATCAAAAATTTCTTCGATCAGAAAATTCCTTTTCACTTTGGTAGGTAGAGTATACTAAGAACAGTAGAAATTTGAATTTCATACCAAAATGTAGCGTGACCAACAGAGATATCATGTGATCAAAATGAAAGGGTTTTTAGTAAAATACGCTTGCCTATTTAACTAAACCAAAAAAAATTTGACTTGAGTTAAAAGTATATTAGTTTAGAACATACAATATTAACATATATACATATATATATATATACTAGTTTTGTAGGTATGATATGGTTTTTTGTATTTTAATGTTAACATAATTAACTATACTATACTACCATGCTCAAATATACCATACTTAAATAGAGTATATCCCATTTAGATTAACCTATTTTCAAATTTCTGGTTTGAGTTCTTTCTTGAAAATTTGAATCTTATATTCTTCTAAATATTTATTCTTTGAATTCACTTTACTTTCTAGTTCTATAAATCAATTTATATATTCTTTTATAATTTTATTTTGCTTTAAGAATTTCAATTCATCTTGCCATTATTGTATCTTACAAGATAAACAGAATTTAAGAATAAATTGGTAAGTAAAATTATAATCATTATGCTCTTTATTTTTCCAATTATCTAATTTGAAATCATTATTTATAGCTTATTGATTAAATTAGACAGCAGCTGATTTCTCTAGATATCCTCTTACTATCTTGATTTTTTGTCATTGGTAATTCCATTGGCTTTGGTAACTACCTCAAAGTTATGTAACTACTTAATTAAATCCTGATTATTACTCTTAAATTTATGAATTGAGATAAGGATCTTCTCCATTTTTTAGATCTTCATAGATTGAGTTAATTCTTCAAGAGCTTAAATAAGACTATTTATTCTATCTGATATGATTATTTCTTTTTTTGATTGAGTTTTCTGAGATTGAATTTATTTGATTATGACTGTTAGTTCTTTAGGATCTTCTGAATTACTACTTTTATATTCTGATTTTGTTAACTAATTAGTTGAGAGAATTTCAAAGTTATCTATTTCTTTAAGAACAAGAAAAATATTATTGACTAAATAGGTTTGTTATTCAACTGTGATTTTGGTTTCAAATATGAAGATGTTTAATAATTTGATAATTTCTCTTTGAAGTTAATTTGATATAAAATTTTACTATACTATATTATCAAAAAGTTCTTATAATAATTTGTTATGTAAGATTACATGATAATCCTGAGTTCAGGTGAGAAAATTTATAAATCTCCTATCTGAATTTTCATTAGCAGAAAAATAGTAAGAATAGTAATTATATGATTCAATATAAAGTGAGAATTTTTAAGAATCTTCTTTATTATATTCATTGAGATATAGATTGATTGGAAGTCTAATAAAAGAGTAATATATACTCATAAATTAATAAATTATTTGGATAACAAATACTTCAAGGGTAGCTAATTCTTAAAATAATAAAATAAATAATAAATGAAAATAATAAAAACAAGTTGACTGGGATTTCTGGATGAGTGAGATCCACAGAGAGAATATCAAATATTACAAATTATATTCAGGAAGGTAGATTTTATCATAAATATAATTTATAATAAGTTTTAAGGATGAGGACTGAATTATTTATAAAGATTAAGAGGATAACAATTATTTTAAAAGTTTCTTAATACCAATACTTATGAATATTATATCAATACAAGATAAAATAAAATAAAATAAAAATATAAAAATAAAGTTGTGATCATGAAACTAAAACAAGAATAAGATACCTAAAACTAAAATAACAAATATTATAATTAAAATCAAAGATTTAGTATACTAACTAAACTTTCTAACAGTATCTTTTCAATCATTAGATAAATAAAGGATATATATCAAAACAAAACAAAGCTTTTATACATGAGAAAGCTTATAAGAATCTTCTTAATCAAATAAAATATACTTAGCTTATTTTAAGTGGAGGACATCCACTATCTAAGTTTTTCAGGCAAGAAAAACTTGTAAATAATTAAAATATAATTTATTATGATAGAAGAAGTAAATAAAAGCAAGTTATCAAGATAAAAATCAAAGAAAAATTATAAGATAAGTATAACTCAAGTATTTTTTTTAAAAGATAATTGAATTATTGCTATTCAAGTACATTTATTTCAGATCTCAGAGCAGAGATATTTATACATCTTTAAGATTTTACAAGTTTCTATCTAAACTTGTTTGCTACTCTAGATTACGCTTATAATTTTTGGGATAAAGAATCAATAAATGAACAAGTAAAAATAAGAAATAAGATATATATGATAAGTTAAATAATAATATAAATGATGAAATAAAATGAAAAAATAAGATAGATATTCTAAAAAGAAAAGATAAATGATAAAATTTATTATTGAACCATTATTAAAGCATTCCTAAATCATTATTAAACTATTTGTGAATTATTATTAATTTCAGGACTAATTATTCATTAATGATCTTAGAACATTGCAAAAATATTGCAAGAATATTGTAAAAATATTATTGAATCATAACTGAATCCATAACTGATACATCAATTATATTATTCAAAATTACATGTCTTCTAAAGATTGATTAATTGGTCAAATTTTTTAAGTTTGAAAAATTATAAAATTAAAGAAATTTATGTTATTATAGTAATATTAATAAATCTTTTAAAGATTCTTCTAAATTTCATTATAAGTATATAGTCACTTTTATCATATACTTTTGTAATATTAGATTAAATACTTATTCCTGTCTTAGAACTTATATCAAAAAGATAATAACTTTTTGATATCTTCTTTGTGGAAAAACAATTTTATAAGATTATCAAATTCAAGTCAGATTTAAATAAAGAATCCTCTGTGAATTAAATTGAAATTAGTAGAGAATTAAAAAGTAATTGAAGAAATAATTCTGCAACATACTCAAAATAGATTCA